ACAGCCCGCGACGTGCCATCTCCCACGTATCCCTTCATCGCCACGTCCAGTGCATGCACTCAGCGCCTCATTCCCCTCTCCCTCCCTCCTTCCCTCCCTCCCTCCTTCCACAGGGCGCCTCGGACGGCGGCCTGGACATTCCTCAGTCGGAGAAGCGCTTCCCGGGGTACGACCGTGACGGCAAGCGGTACGATGCGGACAGCCACAAGGAGCGCATTATGGGCGAGCATGTGGCTGACTATATCAACTACCTGGTGGAGGAGGACCACGAGGCGTACGAACGGCAGTTTGCCAACTATATCAAGGTTGGATATGTCCCCTCCTTTCCCCCCTTTTCTGGCTCCTCGTGTCTTTGATTCGATGGTCACGTGGATCTTTCCGTGAAAGTTGCCTACTCACGCGCGACCCGATGTGTCCTGTCTTTCCTATCGTCTCCCTTCCCATCTCTCCAAAACCCTTTCAGCACGGTGTCTCCGGAGATGATTATCAGGACTTGCTCGAGGAGGTGCATACTGCTATCCGCGAAGACCCGACCGCCGCGCCCAAGACGGAATGGGAAGGAGATCGCACGAAGTACAAGCGTCAGGGGAAGGTGAGGAGAAGGGAGAGTTTGGGAAGGAAGAAGCCGATCGAAGTGTGTGGAGTGAAAAGCAGTTGAAGGCATGCGCTTCTGCCTATACCAGGCACTCACGTCATTTATTTCTTTGACGTTATTTTCACAGCTTTCTTACGAAGAGCGCAAGTCTCGCGTGGCTGAGAAGAAATTGGCCATGGCGGCAGCTGCTGGTGATGCCGATGAAATGGAGGAGGAAGAGGAGGAAGAGTAACCATGGCATTGAATTGGGAGGGGTTGAAATTTGCACGGGCGACAACTCTTGGTTCCGCTTTTCAAGAGAAAAAAGTTGAATCAGCGTATGCTGTCCGGAAAGATCGTTGTCATGTTTATTATGTCATTCATTTTGCTTTCGTTCTTCCATTTTTAGTGTGCATGTATTGAGGTCGAAATTTCTTACGTACGTCTGCGGAGGCGCTTTTCTCCGGAGACGACAAACACCTTTTGAACGACGCAAGTCCTCAAACGCCCTCATCGAATGGATCTGACCTGTTGGTTGTATCCCTTTGAGGTCGAGGCCTGTCAATCCTGCGGATATAGTACTGCTTCTCGTTCGCGTGTGGCCGAGGTTTGTGTAATAACCTTTCTCCGGCGACGATTCCGACGACGGAGAGCCAGAAATGCTTCTAGCAACCGATTTGGCCGCATGGGCCTTAAATGCGGGTAGTCTTGCTTCCAAGACATGCCAGAGACTGCGGTTATTGCCTCCGCAATATTCATGGCAAATAACTGTGGAAAAATCTCTGACTTGTTTTGAATCGTGATTGATTGTCTGATGGGTACGCCCAATGAGGGGCGTCGGAGCAAGTCATTCGTCGGAGTGTGGTTCCGTGAAGCGAGACTACAGAGAAGGCAACCCAAAAATCACCCTATTTGAGATAATTTCTTGTTGTTCATGACTTAAATGTCTTCAGATGCTCAACCAACCCGCCCTTCCTGGACAACACAGGTGTGCCCATTCTATCGCTTGTCGCGTGTGCTCAGAGGTGGTGTTTCCCACTCTGATAAACAAAAATGGTAATGCCATCGATAGTCATGAAATATTTCACGCTCTTCATTGTATTTGCCGCATCGGTACGTGTTTCACTTTCTTTTCTTCCGTATCTCAAGTAATCCTTCAGCTGCTGGGTGGGCTCCCTTTCGATTAGGTCTTGTTCCTCCTCGTTAGATCAGTAGTTTCGCGTTTGCGAGCGTGGGTCATTTACCTGTCAGGAAATGATACCTTGCGACAAATACGGGCATGATACCTTACGGCTTTGTCTTTTTTCCGTCCCAGGCACGTGCCGATTGCCCTCCTGATGGCGCTCTTCAAGTCGCTGTGTCCACAAGCAAAACGCGGGTCAGGAGGGGAGGAGTCACGATGTTCACTCTGACGTTACAGCAAGTCACGGATTGGGGGAATGCCACTGCCATTTACCCTGCGGTAGGTTCAAGGACGAGAAGAAACCTAACGTAGACTGCTCATTTGCCTGTGATTTGCTTACCTTCGCTCTTTTTCCGCATGACACACTTCTCTTCTAACAGCTCATCCTTCCTGTCGATAATCATACCGACCACGACCATGATACCCATCACGATCATGATACCGACCACGATACCGATCATGATCACGATCACGTTGAGTCGGCTCGAAATCTCGCAGGGGGAGGGGGAGGGCATGAGCACGAACATGCGCCTGCCTACTTCCGAAGCGGCCGAATCAAGCCACGCATCTGGAAAAGGTCGCGTTCGAACAGGCCGATCTTTGAAGCACACGATAGCCTGGTTTACTTCATGCTCCCCTCTGACTATGCCACCAGCGTGCCCAACCCCAGGTAACTCCCACAACCTTCAATATTGAGAATTAAATGCTTCATAGCTGGTTATTAGCAGGACGTGTATCAGGCAGTTATTAGCAGAACGTGTATCAGGCAGTGTTGAGTGTGAGCGTGGGTCCGGTTTGTATATTTGTTTGCTTTCTTCAAGAAGGCTTTTGGTTTTCGTGGACGATCCGTGGTCCGTCCACTTGCTTTCTCAGCACGTGCACAGATTCGGAGGGCCATTTTAAGGCCCGCTGCATTACTATCTTTCCTTGTCCAGCCCTCTCATCCGCATCTCCTCATCCCGCCATCCCCACTGTTGCTTTCCTTAAGGAGCATGGGTAAAAAAAGGCCATCGGCTTCAGCGCCCGAGCACGCGTTCAGGTTTGACGTGGTGGTAGGCAAGACGCTGGAAGAGGATCATCTCGAATTTGATCTGGTTATTCTCGACGGCTTGGACGGCAACATCTGCTTTGGTCCGGAACATGTAGAGGTAAGAGGGGAAAGAGAAGGAAACGAGAAGGGAGGCTGATTAGATCCCTATTTTGAACGACAGAGAGTCGGCCTGCTAGAGTATTTAAGGTACATGTCGTCATTAAAAGCTGAAGGAAAGGGAGCACCGCATAGTCTATGATCAATGCAAACATAACCCCGTCAAATACTCAAACTCAATTTCGCTTTGTGTATATAATCTTCACTGAAGAAACTTATGACACTTTCCGCTGCTTTTACGAACAGATTGACGTCTATGGACGCATTCGACCTGAAAGGGATCATTAGTTCTAGTCGGTCGACTTGCATGGGACGCAACTTTGTTCAACACTGAGTCTTCGGGAGGGAAATAAGAATGTGAAAAGCCTTAAAGAAATGAGTTAATGGGGCAAGAAGATAGGTGGAGGGCCACCCAAGCGATATTTTTTGATCGGTGTGTAAGGACTTGCCCATGTGTTGACCGAGTCGCGAAGAATTTAACAAATTATTCCTTATACGAATCCCAACTTGGGTTGTTTAAATCTGAATTTGTTTCTACCTGCAATTCTATGCCCTCTTTTCTTTTGGGTTTTCCTCTATTTTACTCTTTGCTCGCCATTCCATTAGGTCATCTTTTAGAAAAGGGAATCGTGGGGGAGATGAATCTCCTTGCTTGACTTCTCCAAGTAACCAACAGCTCAACTTAGGCCGACACATATTTCGCGCACTTTGCGTAGAAACATGGTGGCAGACCCTGGCATCATACGTACAGAGAATACAGCGAGAGATACGTAGTGTCCTATGCTTGCAAGCTGTAAGCGATGCAAAAGAGAAGGTCCAAAAATTGTCAATCAAAAAGCTGAGAATGGTGATAAAATTGTTATCTTGTAAGAATGTGGAAGCATCCGTCTTTTCTCCCTTGTTCGGTGTCAGGATTAAGATGGGACGACTCTCCCTCCCTTTCACTGCGGATTGTAATTTCTCGGCAAAATGTGGTCATAGGAATATATCTGTCTCAAAAAATAGTGCTGGTATATTTTAAGAGCCTGTTACAGCGAACTGCTTGGGTGGGGAGCAATGGTCAAAGACACTGAGACGTTGTAAAATATTGGCTTCAAAGGTCTGTCTGTGATTGGCTGAAGAGCCTCGTCTTTTGTCTTCTGAAGATACTTGTTCTATCTCCTTCTCTCGCCACAACAATGAAAAGCCTACTATTCGTACACGTCATAGAGTATAAGAGAACAGCTCAATCATTCTTGCCGTTCAGTGATGCCGGTCTGTAGGCTGTCAAATGAGCATTCATTCAGATTGTCAAGGAGATGGAAGGTCCCCTGTTGCATGGCCACTTATACACCGCTTTAAACCTTTAATAGACTCACGACTTTTGTGTTTTTCCAACATTTTTATTTCGAAGAAAAAGCTGACTTTTGTTGGAAATTCTAAATCGCATGTTTTTAGGGATACTCTACGATCGTGAAGCGTCGCTCACACTACGTAGCCTTTTACACAATTTCCGCTGAATTCATGAAATAAATCTACCCGTCTATCATCATGCGTGTGTATTTTGTATAGCAAGGAAATGCCTCTCTGTATGGGATGATGCGTGTTGACTATCAAAAACACCTCTGTCGACCGGCAAATCAGTCAAATACCGCAGACCGAGAGCTCTTAGAGCCTCGAACAATAATCCAACCATAATAGCTCCTAAAGCTTAAATAAGAAGAAGGCTCGGCCACCCACTCAGTTTCCCGTGCACGGCGTCGAAGAAAAAATCGCCGTCCTCAACAGGGCTGGACCGGTAGTGCTGGGAATTCCTGGTAGGCTCCTGGTCTCTAGACTGGACACATGTATGGGGCCCGGCGATATCGGAGGCGGGTCTTCTTAAGGCTTACCGGCAGGCACCCTGCGGGTGGCCACGGGCGCAATTGCACTGCGGTCGTTTGGGCCGCTGCTGGACAAAATCTTGCGGACAGTTCGCATTTTGGTAGGTGTGCGTCTTCGACAAGCTGAAATGGACGGCAATTGTGAGAATTTCTTGGTCTGGGTGGCGCCTCCAAAGTGAGGGTCTATGACGCCATATCAGTCATCAGATCCGGACTCGCCGCCCTAGGAAAGAATAACAGATGTGCCGAGCAAGAAAGCCAAGTGTGTGCAGTGACTGTGTTCAAGCGAAGTCGTTTTGAGCGTGTTTTGCCGATGTCCAGTTGTGGATCGAGCCTACGCTTCGATGCAGACGACCTAGTGTGACAGAAAAGAGTGAAGGTTTGGATTGAAAATTGCCACATGAACAAGCCGTCGTGGAAAGCACTGTGCACGCTGGCCAATCAGCTCGTTCACCGGTCAAACAGCGTGCTACAATGCCAATTTTTTCTCAATCCCACATGCACACTTTCCATTGTCTTTATGAATACTGCTTTTTTTCAGGAATTGGTGCACTTAGGCTCAATTCAAGAATTGACATCAAGTATGAATCTGGAGGAGGAATTCTGAGGCGGCGACTTCCCTGAAGTTTAGCCTGGTGGCAACGCGGGCCGAAGTTGGGATGGATAGACCCACACCCCCTTATGGCAGCCGTGAAATTAGCGGAACAGGACATGCTGAAGTTAAAGTGCGCCGTGACAAGCGGGAAGACGGAGTCCGAGGCGCCCTTGAAACGGGGGCCTCCGCTATGGAGAAACGTCCGCAACAAGACAGAATGCCAATAGATCCTGCAACGAAGCGTAAAATATGTGTTGACCACGTGTATGCCGAAGAAGGGTGTATGCGTTGGGGTTGTCCTTTTGCGCACGTTGAAAACACGTGTGGGAGGGGGAAAGCGGGTGGTAGGAAAAGTGGTGGGAACGAAGGCGAAGAATTCGACGCGACGCGAAGTGCAAGACAGGACATCAACAATGACGATCCTGGGCAACAAACAAGGTACGTGGGGCCTCGGTGCCTCCCGGGATTTTTATTTCTCTCTCCGGACATATCAACCCCACGAGCCAGAATATCTCAAACCCATACCTAGAGCGCGGGCCTTACACCTGAACCCCGCCCCATCACTTTCACGCATGCTCACCACCTGCACACCACCGCAGTATATCCACGCACCAGGGAATGGACACGCACAAGGAGCCTGTTTCCTCTTCCTCCCTCGTAGCTCCCAGAGAACCCACCTCCTCCAAGCCCTCTACCCTCCCCAGAGGCGCAGATAAACCACGCACGGGCCTGCGGAGTGGTGGTCAGAAGTCACAAACCGGCGAGCATACGGATAGAGGAGATTTGAGCACAGGCATAGAGGAGCAAGCGGAGCCAAGGACGGGCGTGGCGGATGAGGGGGGTGGCGAGGAAGCGTCCGGGGGAGTGGGGGAGGAAGAAGGAGCGTTGGTCGACAAAATTGGGGACTTGCACCTGAAAAAGGCGGTCGCCACGGAGAAGGAGGGAAGCGGAGATGGAGGGGGTGGGCTGGGACCGGCAGGAGGGAGCGAGGGTGGCATATTCACAATGGAAGCGGCCCATCC